GAAAAATCCAGCTTCATCCGCCGTCTTCGCCTTCAGCCGCTGGTTGGCATCCTAACCCCAAACCCACCCTGCGACTTATGCCCGCCGCTGCCGTCCTGTCACGCTTCATCCGCCGTCTTCGCCTTCAGCCGCTGGTTGGCATCCTAACCCCAAACCCACCCTGTGACTTACGCCCGCCGCTGCCGTCCCGTCACCCCGGAATGCAGCCACCTGCATCTCGCTGAACTGCTTGAAAGGCATTAAACCCAAAACCCTAATTATTGGAAGTGATTTAAGAGGATGAGCATGGCGTGGCTAACACACAACTGCCTGCACGAAGGTAGGCCTGACCGCCCACGGTGTGACCCCGCGGTCAGAACCTGCAACTGACACCCTGTTCCCGGGACAGAGAGGGGGTGACACGTCTTGTTTGTCGCTCTATGTTGGAAAAACCCCACAAGACCACAGTCAAAGCGAGGGGTTCGAGTGTTCTGACATTGCCCCTAGTGATCCTGGGCTGGATCAGAAGTGTGGCCAGCAGGGCGAGGGAGGGGATTCTGCCCCTGTACTCTGCTCTGGTGAGACCCCACCTGGAGTGCTGCGTCCAGCTGTGGAGCCCTCAACATCAGAAGGATATTGACCACTTGGAGCGAGTCCAGAGGAGGCCACGAAGATGATCAGAGGGCGGGAGCCCCTCTGCCGTGGGGACAGGCTGAGAGAATCCGGCTGGTTCAGCCTGCAGAAGAGAAGGCTCCGGGGAGACCTTATAGCACCTTCCAGTGCCTGGAGGGGCTACAAGGAAGCTGGGGGGGGACTTTTTACAAGGGCCTGTAGTGACAGGACAAGGGGTAATGGGTTTAAATTGGAAGTGGGGAGGTTTAGATTGGACATCAAGAAGAAATTCTTCCTGCAGAGGGTGGGAGCACTGGGACAGGTTGCCCAGAGAAGCTGTGGATGCCCCATCCCTGGAAGTGCCCAAGGCCAGGCTGGATGAGGCTTGGAGCAACCTGGTCTAGTGGAAGGTGTCCCTGCCCATGGCAGGGGGGGTGGGACTAGATAATCTTTAAGGTCCCTTCCAACTCAACCCAGTCTGTGATTCTATGATCAGGTCTGAAGACTCAGTGGAAAAAGCAGAAGGAATGGAAAATTCAAGTCTGGAGAACTCATTCATGTTACTCCCACTTTACGCCCCAAACCCTTGGTTGTAGAGAGAACTCCAGAGGTCCCCTGTTCCCATGCTCTTCACGCAGTGGAGTGGGGAGAAAAGCCCCGTTATTTCTGCACACACAACTATTCTAGCAGCCCAGCAGACAGTTAAGGCTTCCCAAAACCAATAATCTCAAAAGTCAGGTGGAACTCTACTGGAGAGCGGGATGAGAACGAGACGGAGACATGAACCACAAACGCCAACACACCCGCAGATGCGCAACAGACCGAGGCATGAGCTCGAGAAAAAGAAACTGCATTTTAAGCGCTTTAAAGATGTACATTCTCGTGTTGTAAAAATCAGGGGAGGTCAGAGACAGCTCTGCTTCCCCACTCCTCCACACGGGACACTAGTTCTCTAGCTCAGAGCGAACACGGCAAGAGCACGCTGGGCCGTTTCCAAGGAGCGCTACAAAAAGCCCACAGCCTGCGTTTAGGCACGTCTTGGGATAAATCAGCAGTGGGAAAAATAAAAGTCACTGGTTTTTAGACAGCTGTTACAGTTTGTTTCCCTTCTACAGTAGGAAAAGCTGACACTGCAGCTGTACCTAAAGCTCCCACTCTCTCCTCCTACCCAAACTCCAGGGAAGCACCTTTGTGAGCAGCTGGGAAGCTTTTTCAGCCAGAGCCAGTTCCGTTTGCTTTGACACGGCCAAGAGGGGACAACCCTGGCTCCGGTTAATCCTGGTGAAAAAACTAACCAGCTTAAGCTGCAGGTTGACATCATTCCTGTCCATCTATAGGAGGCATCCAGTACTCAAGTGGCTGTGGAAAGGATGAACTTTGATAGTTTGAGCACTGGTTTTTAGAAGTGACATCAGCAAAGGAGACGTTGGCATGTTCTTCCGTGACAGCTCTCTGTGTACAACCACCTATTCCTGCTCCTCATGATTTTCAGTCCCTGAAAGCGAGGCGTTAAGCATGATGTCACTAAACCCACAGTTTGCAATCCCGGGTACTCAGGATTCCATGAACTTAACACAAAAACAACGCTAAGACACGCAGTCACGGTCCTGCACACATTTCACCCTGGCCTGACGCCAAGCAGTGAGCACATCTGACTCTGGATTATACAAAGCCTACTTAAGAAAATTAATTATCCTCCCTTCTACAAAGCAGTGTCTGCATTTGCCTGCTCACACCTACAGCTTTCCCACATCGCTCGGCACGTTCACCCACAAATTCTATGATATGCTCTTACAAACAAGCTTCTCTCTTCCCTGGGATAAATTATTACACCATATTCCTTGCCAGGGTAGTTGAGATTAATGATAACTAAGCCTCAAGACTGTTAGTTTTATTGTGGATTTAATCTCCTAGGAAATTTACTCCTCTACTTCCTCTATGAACCGCAGCTTGGGATTTGGGACCACACGCTGCCTGTGGATGAACTCCCAGCCTCATCTCCCTCCCTAGACGGGTGTCACCTCCTGTTACTTCCAGCACTGAACGAAGCCACATTGCAGCAGGAAAAATACGGAGCTGATGTAGCGCAACGAGATCCAGGAGGACATGGAAGGTGCCATTGCCTCCTTTGATTCCAGTCCTTCCTACGGGCAGCGGTACCGCAGCTTGGATGAAACCAACAGTACCAATCACCGCAATCACTCATTATTTTGGGGTTTTAATCTCTACAAACAAGGACTATCTTCTTTGAAAAATGCCGAACAAAACGTTGGACAACTCTCTAGTTTTGAGAATGCAAATTTCACTTCTGTGCCACCGCTACGGATTCGTTCCAACGCTCAAACCACCAGCTTATTTCTGAATTCTTGAGGCAACTTGTCTTGACAAATCACAAACAAGCTAATACTGAAGAGCCCAGCAAAGAAATACTTGTGGTGCTTCCAACGTTCTGGCCCTACCTGGCTACAGAGATCAAAGAAAACCCACCACCCAGATTTAAGAGTCTGAGGACTGATGAAATCAATCCTCAGGAGAGGATTTGCAATTTTCTGAAAGCCTTTTGGTCAAACTCCGGCCCACTGCGGTCAGGAGCGGGAGAACTTGTCGTGACGTGATTACAGCTACTTACAGGTGGAGCTTTCTATGAGCACGACTGAGCGTGGAATAGCACATCTTTAAAGCGCGTTGGTTCTCTGAGGGGATGAAGTGTCACAGCAACAAAAAAACGCATGAAATAAAAAGGAAATCAGTTAATGATTTTTATTAAATCTCAGTGTTTCATAAAATAAATATGGTATATAATATCAAACAGTGAGAAACAAAGCACAAGCATGAAAAGCATGGTAACAAAAGTTCCACTCATGATGGTGTTTAATACTTAGCACTTTAGAAACCATAAAGCCTTTCATTATTTACAAGCAGCAAACTATCTAACATAATGTACAACGTCGCGGCAGCCTAGTCAGGGAGGGCTGAAGGGGGAAAAAAACGGAGAGACCGCAATGGAAGACCTTCACTTGCTCTAGCTAGCTAGCACTTTATTACACACCCTATTTCCCCCTTATTTACACAACTCTTTGCAACTTCCATTATTCTCAAAGTTCAATAATTACACCCCATTGTATGTCAGAGCTCAGTTCATCTCTAGGATGGTGTAGTGCCTTCTGCACTTAACAGACGCGTATTCAAGTAACACTTCAAATGAAAGTAAACATGTGCAAACCGGAGTGCGACGCCTCCGTCACCCTCGGGCGGTCGTGTCGGACCGAGGCGGCAGGCGCACGTTCGCGGGTTAAATTAGGGAACAGCTACAGAAACCTACTCGGATGTCTAGCCGGGACCAAAAGGGAGAAATGGGAATATTAAACAGAAAAATAAAAAGGGAATTGAATTGCAAATATACCCTGTTACCACAGCCAAAAGTTTAATCTGCTGAAACACAAAGACTTTAAAGGTCATAACTCAAGATTTAATATTTCAACATGAAAAGAAATCCAAGCCATTCGACTTATTTGGGCTTTTGAAAACAAATGCAAATGTCTCTGTTTAAAAACTGCTTTTAAATGAGAAAAACAAATCCATATATATTAATATATCACCCAAAATAAAAAAAGCCAACCATAACACACTCTTCGGTTTAGAGCATGCTGCTCATTCAGAAGAAAGACAGGACAAAGGAAGTAGAATTACATTTCATGATGTAATAAAAACATTAAAATCTGTGATCATTAAGTGCACCGTTGTACAGGAGTAGCGTGCTCAGAGTGGCAATGTTCTATACCTACCAGAATCCATCTTTATTAGAGCAGACAAATCCTTAGGACACTACCTGAAACCGAGAGCAGTAATAACTGTGCTCCGTTCAGCTTGCCTTCCATTTCAGCCAGGCATAGCCCAGCTAGTAGCACCTGTATGCCTCTTCGTGACTGTATTCCAGAAATCTCTACATCTGCCAACAATTTTGGTTTTTAAAAAAAAACGAGACTGGCTTTTGCAATCCTTGCAGTGCTTATCCTAAACAGATACTGCGAGTGAGCTCTGTTCTGAGCAGCACAAGTTGGGGTTCTTTCAGAAATCTGAGAGCTGGACTCATCGTTGGCAGTAGGTACAGTACAACAGTTCGATGTATTAAACAGTTCCTCAAAAAAGTCTGGAAGGAAGGTTTCCCTAAAGACTGTTTAAAAAAGACCCCAAACCAAACCCAAAACACTTCACCCACGATCTGTTCAATCCTTCTACTGAAGTTCAGAGCTTGCCAACTTTAAGAATGCCAGGAAAAAGGAGGGAATGAGGCGGAGAGGAAACAGAACTAAATTATTCCCAATTTGTACCGATGAAAAGCTTCAAGTAAAAGGAAATCCACTCGTTAAAGATCTTGCTACATGCACAGTCCCTCGTCAGTTGAAAGCCACAGTAGTTAGCATTGGGTGTAACAGCAGATTTATCATTCATAAAAAACACCGGCAAACGTTCCTTCATTCTTAAGAACTTGCGCCCACGGTTTCTGTTCAGAAGCTTCTTAAAAAGTGTTTATGGTTCTGCGCGCTTCATACCCCACTGGAGGAAAATGGTAAACATGTCTTCTTTCAGTGCGATCCCGTTCAGCAACCTTCTCCCCAAGAGCTCAGTGTCATTTACGAGTCTGAGTCTTCTTTGGCACCGCAGGTCGCTTGGCTTGCCACAAGTGGTTATGGATCGTGAGAGCATCCACGCTGACAGACATGGTTTTGGCTGGAATCACGTTAAATTGTTTTCTGTCCGAACTGTACTTATAAAGTTTGTCAATCATTTTCTTGGTGATGCTCTTTGGCCCCGTTCCTGTCAGCTTGTAGATCTCTTCAGTGTCAGGATAGTAGCAATAAAGTGCTCTGAACTGGCAGCCGGCATCACGGAACAAAATGATGTAGTGGTTGGCATCACATTTTTCTAGTTCCTGCATTAAAAATAAGCAAACGTACAGATTCACAGATTGTTCACAGTGAAAAACTCCCCCTTTCTGCCAAGCTTTAAGCTTTCAGACACAGATTAATAACTGCAACTTTCAGTCCTCAGAACTCAGGAGCTGAACTCTGACTACCACACCGTGATTCCCACAAGCCCACGTGGTCGCAGGAAGTAAAGGATTCTCAACACAGGGATATTTTAGGAAGCGGCACTCACTACAGTTCATCAGCGGGAGCATGAAATGAGCATCACAGCTACATTTTGTGGCGAGTGCATTAAGGATTTGGCGTTTCAATGTTTACCTCTAATATTGAGTTCTTATGGGGTTCGTTCACTTTTCCAGCGAGGCAGCAATGAGAGATAGCATTGTGAATTATGTGTTTGTTTGATTTGCTGCTGGGTTCCTTAAACAATTTTGGACCTAAGGAAGATAAAAGAGTCAAAATTATTTGCCCTGCATTTATGAACTTCACAGTTTTCATTTAAAGAGAAAAAAAACCCTCAAATATTTTTCTACCATAACTTACTTCTAGAGATATTAAATGGAACAAAACACGCCGGACGACGTCTCAAAACCAACCGGTTGCATCAAATACACCACAGCTTTTTATGACCTGCTATTCAGAACACATGCTCAGACTAAAACAAAACAGTCACCTGTGTATTCCGCCACCGAAGCAATAGAAGATGCTGTTGAGGCATTCTCCCAGTCTCGTTCCGTGTTCCTGCTAGGATTTCTGCTCAGTATTGGTAAGGACTCCATGGATTCAACTCTGGAAGGAGATGAGGGGGGGATAAAAACAATTACATGCCAAGATTTTGGGGTTTTTTTCCCACCCAATCTTAAATAAATTCACTGGTTGCTGGCCCTGAATGAAACGGGCTATTGTCCCTTTTTCCTCCCCTAAAGCAGTCGGATTCTCCCTGCTAGATTATCCAAGCAATATTCTCTTATTCCTCTAGGGGAAAACAAACAAAATCGCAAGTTTCTACAGAACATCGGAGTTGGCAGCCACATAAAACAGAAGGTGAAGTCCCTGATGACTGCTGTGTCCCTACGCAAGTGAAGGGTCCCCCCGGCGCGTCCTAACACCGGCCAAAACACAAGGACACGAAGCCGCTCCCCACCTCTGGGATGGCGTGCCACCGGAGTGCACGCTCTCGGGTTCGGTCGTTGCCGCCGAGGCCAGGGAAAGGCTGGAACCGGACTGAGCGCTGCTCAAGTTATCAGCTGCAAAATGAAAGAGAAAGCGTGAAACACGTCGCTAAAGCAGATTTGCCAGCTCAGGGAGAGCAACAAATCAAAATTCTTACGGGTGGAAGAACACTTCGTCCCGGAATCGCTGTAAGACTCTTCACGATGGACCGACTTTGGCCTGGGTTTTTTGGGCTTTGATTTGGGCTTCCCAAGCCCTTGCTCCTCCAAAATTTGCTGCTGTTTCTTCCTTAGATATTCTTGCTTGATAAGTTCTCTTCGAGCCTTCTCCTCTTCCTTCCGTATTCGGTCCTCCTCAGCTTTGCGACTGAAAAGCAAACACACCACAACATTCAACACGTAATAATTTTCCTCACCTTGAGGACAGAAAGACGTACTCTTTTCCACACGTTTTTACCGAGCTTCGTCTCTTTTCTGTTCAACCTCAGCCTCCAACTGCTGCTTCCGAATCCGGGCCTCCTCAGCCTTGCGCTGCTGCTTCAAAAGGAACGCTGCACGTTTTTTTGCGAGCTCATCTTCCGCTTTCTGTTCATCCTGCAAAATTCACAGTTGGGGAGTTTTAAAGAAGAAAATATGATAAGCCTGACATCACGAGATTGCTGAGGATCCCAGGAGGATTTTAGGAAAGCATAGGCTATTACTTTTGGAAATCTTAATTTTTTTTTAAATTATTGACTGTAAATCAGAACTGTATTGAACTTTTTGTTGCTCAAGAAAAATTTGAGACAGTTTTAATGTTCCCTGACGTCTGTGAGAAGGAAAAAAAGGGTCTCATCTGACTGTGACTTGTTTTTAAGTACGCTAAAGCATCACAAAACCTTCTAGAACTGCAAAGTACGCTACAACTACCACGTGGGCTGGGATGGACAGCACAAATAACCCCAGCGTAGCGACCACCTCTGGGTGAGTCAATACTAACCACGCTACAGAAAACCAGAAGTTAAATTCCCTGAGACCGAGACAGCCTAGCTCGACTTCCTTGAAAGAGAAATTTAAAAAGAAAGCATCAGCACACCAGCACGTCTGGGGTATTTGCAATAGTCACTGCTAGAACACAAAGACACTAAGTGTTCCGACAGCGGTTCTGAACGTCACTAGGAGCAGACACATCTTTAACACACATCCGACCCAAAAATATAAGAAATACCGCTGCACTAAAAAAACAACAGCTTAACAACCACCCTTCCCCAAGCCCGAGTTAGGTGTGAAATGAGGAAAAATTACTTATCACATTTTCACCACGAGCCCTACACACTACCATTATAGACCAATCACAAGCTGTATGAAAACCAGTGATTTCTTCCAACAGTGCACTGAAACAGCTGTAATTTTTCACTTGCATCAACAGCCATACAACTAATTCTCCATTAGAGCCCGTGACTTAAGGCTGCTCAAAATCGTAGAGATTTGGGTACAACTGCCAAAAAACCCACCTGGTCCAAACTCTCAGCTCCCTGACAAGTTTTAAAACCTTTTCAGCAGGCTTTTACTAGATACCTGTGTTCTGTCAGAACTGGTTTTCTTTCAGCTGATCCAGGTTCACAGAACGCTGGGACTTCAAAACTGTAAATCCTTGCATTCTGCAATTCTTTTGTGCTAAGTGTTTACAGGTTTGTGTTTTTCAGACAGAAAAAAAAAAAATCCCAAACCTCAGGGAAACAGAAGAAAAGCAAGGTTAATCCTGGTTCCCAGGAAAGTTAACAAGAACCAGGATTTCATACATTAAGACAAAGACTCTTTCCTCCACAAGCAATTCTTTTCCAATGCAGTTTAAAATCCTAATATTGCAGCCGAAACACACCATGTTCCATCAGAAAACTGAAGAACAAAGTGGACCAAACCAGCTCTAACGCTGGGCAAATGTGTAACAATAACCAAATATAGAAAGGTAGCGTATTTACCTTGAAGAAAAAACCCACGCCAGACTTCTGATCACCTTCACTAATGATGTCCGTGGAGCTATCCTGGTTTTCAAGCTCTCCTTCATCTGGAGCTTTTAAGTCAGACAAGTCTACTTCAATGAGATTAGCCTTGCTTCTCAGCGGCTCATCCACCGGGACATTTTCTTTTCCTGAGCCATCAGAAGAATTCAACCCTGTTTCCTTGAAGCTGTTATTCACCTCTTTGCTCATTTCGGAAATAATATTTGCATCCTTGGAGGTGGAAAGAACAAGAGACCGTTGATTGCTCTCATCATGAAGTCGGTAGGTATCGAAGAAACACTTTTCTTGAGAAACACTTCCAAGATCAGGACTACTTTCCAAGCTGATTTCTGTTGGTGTCTTTGACAAGCTATTGGATGGAAACGCTCTCAAATGCGGTAAGCTTTCTAGGCTTGGTGTTGGGGTTTTAACACGGGCTGAATTCTGCTGTCTGTCTTTAGTGACTTTCAGGTCAGCTGGTCTTCCTGCCCGAGGATTCCTCCCTTGACCAAAGCGAGGTGGTTTACGAAGACTGTTCATTCCAGTTGGAGACAGGGGCTCAACAAAATGAATGGATGGTTTTACCTTTTGGTCCTGAGAGTTATTTCTGGTTCCTGGTGACGGCACTGATGGAGATTTCATAAGTAGCTCCTGTTGCTGAGAAATCTTTAATATAGCCTGCTGAAGCGTGCTGATTGTTTCATTCAGTTTTTCAATAGACAGATCACATTCATTTATATCCACCTCGGTAACACTGTCCTCTAGGAGGGCAACAGAAATAATTTTACTTTTTTCCAAATCATGTATAGCAGCAGGGTCTTTTGGTTTATGCTGCTCAGCAAAAGCTAGGCTTTCTTGCATTTTTACCTTTGTTACTTCTTGAGAATCATGAAGCATTTCTTCTCTCTCCTCCTCTTTCACAAGAAACTCCTCAGATTTGGAACCTAAAGAAACCTCATCTAAGTCTTCACCATTGTGCCGAGAATATTCCTTTGCAAAATGTTCGGGTTTAAGAGGCTGAGGAACGTCAGGAGATTTCCCTTTTTTAACAACATGCAAGAAAGCTGCCTTGCCCAATTTTAGTCGCTGCCTCGCTGATAAGGCTTCCATCTTCTTCTTCTGAGCTTCTATTGCCCTTCGTTTCTCTTCCAACTGCATGTGAAGCTGCACCAATTCAGAAGCTAGAAGATTAACGTTATCTTTATTTTGTCTGCCGGGGCTCTGCTCCCGCTTTTGTTTCCATGTGGTTAGCGGTGCCGGGCAGCTTTCCGATCCATCTGGTGTGGTCTTTTGTGAACTACTTGTGCTGGACTTTGTTTCGTAGCTATTGAGCCTCTGAAGCTTTCGTTCTGCGAAATTGGTCATCCGGACGCTCCCGCTCGTCATCGACACACTGCTAACTTGAGAAATTGTACTCAAGCAGGGGCTGGAACGGCCACTGGCATCATCCTTATCTTCATGTTCTTTTACCTTCATATCTTCTTGCAATTTTGCAGATTCTTCCTCGCCAATGTATTTAGCGACTATAGGATGGTCATCAATGACCACCAAATCCTGTTCGGCATCTTCTATGTCTAAGAGATCTGAATCCGAGTCCTGTCTCACCATGGTCCATGTAGTATCGGGAACATGCAAGTTGAGACTTTTCACATAACTGGCATTGACTTTACTTGCTATGTCATCATCAGACTTAGCAGCATGAAGAAAAAATCCTCCAGGGGATAGCTCCTGAGCGGAAGGATCTAAACTGCTACTAGCCAGAGGTCTGGAAGCGTCTAAACCTGCCTCCACCAGTGCCACCGGATCTGCAATACCAGGATCTGCAACTGGAGTGAAATCAGAACTAGAAATTGGAGTAAAAGTCCTATTGAGGTCATGCTCACCATGACTGCTATGTGCTTTCTTGCGGCTCAGAGGCAAGTGTCCTTCATTTAATCTCTTTGTTACAAAACTCCTTTGTTTCCCCTCCCCACATTCATCCTCTTTGTTGATGATCTGTTTTTCCTTCGCTGGCTTTAGAACAGCAGGCATTAAGGGCTCCAAGTAAAAACTGTCCGGTTTGCCTTCCGAAGGCTCGCTACGTGTTTTTGGAGACCACGCACTTGCAGCTATGCTGGGCACCCGGGCTGACGCGTTCTGCAACTCAAGATCACCGCGATGTGGCCTTTCTTCAGATCTGATTATGGCAATAAGCTCTTCATCTTCATCCTCAATTTCCACGTTGTTCAGCAAGCTCTTCCCGTTCGTCTTCATCGCTGGAGGATGGGGCTGATTTTTTGGAGTTACGTTAACAATGTTTGAGGCAAGACTGTCTTTGCTGATTGATCTAGCCAGACTAATGCTATCGCCAGACCCAGGGTCCACATCGGTACTGGCAGAATGATGAAGGGCAAATGGTGTTGGCTGAGACAGAGGCCTAGAAGAAGTAAGAACAGTCTACTGACACCTAAGCACGAAAAGTTACAGTTTGTTGAACACAGGATCATGATATAGACAGCTAAATATTTTTGCTCCATTTGAAAAATGTATCCTGCATCAAAAGTGACCAGCAATACCAAACAGCAACTTCAGATACCTCAATTTTCACCAGCACTTACTGAAAATCATATTTAAAGTATTTTCAATTGCAACCCTACTATCAATCACCCCTGAAAATGTACATTGAAGGAAAACAAAGTTCAGTGACTCTCACTGCAGTTCTAAGGAAGTAACACAACATTACTACACAAAACTGTCACAGTTTCCTTTCATTAAACACTTGTAATACTTAAGTGCATCTGTTACCTGGGTTTCTTCTCTGGCCACGCAAGAATGGCACCTCGTGGCTGCCCGTCAACACGGGTCAGAGAATTAGAACGATGCCGATGACCTGAAATATTTAAAAAAAAACCCCAAACTTAAACAGTTTAGAAATGGACTTTAAACTAGTACTTTTACTTTATTTAATAGCAAACATGATAAACTTTCACCAAGAGATGGCAGCAGAAAACAGGTTTGCTGAAATACTAACCAAAGACAGTCAAAAGCCTGAAGAAATACAATGAAAAATGACATCTGGCATATCTTTAAAAATCTGTTAACACAAACAAAGATGATTTTACTCAAACTAAACATGTTTACCCCTTGGCTGAGTGCAGTTTAATTCTATTTTAGAACATTCACATATATGTGCTTATGTTTTTTTCATGACTGTACTGACATCGATGGCCACTGCCTGTGAAATGCAAACTCAAGGGAGACTTACCAGGGCTGTCTTCTCCCTGTAAAGATTTCTGTTGCTTTTGTCTCAAAGGGAGCAGTGGATGGGAAGGGCTAAAGGCAGGGCTTCCTCCTTTGCCACTAATTAAGAAAAGCAAAAAATCACTACTACATGACCTTCTTTTATCTACAATGAGAGAATTTATATAGTTGCGAGGTTGCACTGGTAATAGTTATTACCCCCCAGCCTCTTTAAAGCGCAGTAATAGATCATTAATTCTAAAGAAGCTACTTAAAGAAAAGGTTTTCACAATACAACAGTAAACACCTACTACTGGGTATCAAACCATTTAAGTTTCTAATTACAGCAGATTTTAAACGTAGCTTATGTAAATAATACAAGAGAGAAAGTAAAGGCTGAAAGAACTTCTCAGCTTCCATCAAACTTAGATCAGCTGAAAAACCTTGTCATTAACCTTCTTGTACATTAGATTCTGTTTAACTTTGTTTTCATACCCCCATTTATACAACAGGGCTAGTGAAGATGAGCTGCTTGAAGAGTTTTCACGTTTCACATTCTTTCCAAAACAGAAGTTGGACTGATTTCTTCTGTAATGCAGTGGTGACATTTGCTGGCGGGGCTTATTGGCACTAGCCAAACAAAGATCAAACGTAACAGTGCAAAGTATTTCTTTGAACTGGAGAAGTGAGAATATTTTGTAAACAGATTGCACACAACTCAAATCCCCTCAATCTGCAGCAACATCAGAACATTCAGCAGCAGAAATTCCTAGGTTATCCAAATGAAAGTGTAAATTGAAGATTAGACTAAAGAACAGGAAGACAGCCTTACAGATAGTCAGGCTCCTCAGGGTGCAGGTAGTACCGAGTGCAAGCTTCGGGGCCTGCCTGGGCCGAGGGCTGCAAGTCTGCTGCTGGACTTGTAGTGGCAGGGCTGGCCATGAAACTTCGCTTCGTTGCATTGGAAATCGGAACGGGTGGACGACTGCTCTTCTGCTGCAGCACTGTTTTAACTGTGCATATATTTGTAACATGAACACAACTTAGAAGAGCCATTAAACATACAAAACGAACGGGAAGTTCGCAGGTTGCGGTACATTAGAATGAGAACTTTATGAGACAACACTGAAATGAAACCTGAAGCAGGAGTCTGCATTTAAAATATGTATTTTACAGCGACCTCATAGGAAAGGAAGTAAATAATTAGTGGGTCTAGGGAAAAAAATACTTGCCCAGCTCATTCCAAAAGTTAGAACTCAAGTGTATCTAGGACTAACTTTCATCCCATTTTCACTGTTTTCAAAGATCCCCAGCAAGCAGAAAGCTTGGGTAGAACCAAAACGCCAAAGGCAACACTGCTGTGCAACAGTTCAACTGTAACGTAAGTATTCAGAATGACATGCTAACATTTATCAAGAGTTAAAAACGTACCATCTTTTATCTCCTGAATATCTCTTGGCTGCACAAAGTCTGGTTTGACATTCTCAAACCACCAGAAGAGTTCCGCGATGAATACCATGACATTAGGCTAAAACAAGAAAAAAAGAAAAAAAACCACCTCACAATAACAAAAAAACTACGATTTACCCACATTTCATTTAAAAAGATATCCTTCATTATGTTTCTTACCTTTAAAACCAAAGGAGCATAAAGCATGTCCTCCAATGTGAGGTAAAAGCATTTGTTTAGATATTCATTTGAGAATTCTCTCAAAAGTTGAATATTATAGAGGCTGTCTGCAATTGAAGTTACCTCCTTCAGACAAATATCTAGGAAGGTGAGAAAGGGTAAGCTATGTCATTATCCCAATGAATTCAACTTCCATCCAAATTAACAGAAGCACTAGATACAGGAACTTCAAAGTCTGCTTATACACCATCATTTAATACTTCTTGGCTACCAGAGACATTTCACTACCTGTTAAGTACCAGAGAGAATAGAAAAGGAGGAAGAAAAACATGGATAAAACTACCAATTTTACATTCATTTCAGACTCCATATAGGATTCAGTCTATCACAGGACAGAAAAGGTAAGCAGGCTACAAAGAACACACAGAATGACAAATACAAAAGCAACTAAAACCAGACATCTTGATTTGCAAATAATAAAAGATTACTCCTAGGATTCAGTGCTGGTTCCTTCCGAAACCATTCAGGAGCTCTGCAAGGTATAACATACCTGAGAATTTAAAAACCTAAAACTTAATTTTAAAGTGTTGATTTGCAGAGGTTAAATGCAACAAGGACACTGAATTAGTAAGAACATTTCTGAGAAAGAGACCTCACGTTTGTCATGCTGAGGAGTGATAATTGCTGAAGACTGGGAGAAACTATTTTAAAATCTAGATTTTAAAATGTCAAATTATGTTTTCCTAGAGAGGAACATGAGAATTGTCGGCTAACAGTAGTGGACATGTATTTCTTCTTTATGGGCTATTGAAACAAGCTCAGTTATTTGAACAAAGAAAGCCATGTTGTGTACATCTATAAAAAAAAGGGTCATTTTGTAGCTCAAAGAGCTTTCTAAATACAGCAGGAAAAAAAAAAAAACAAAACCCACTGAAATCAAAGAGAGGTTACTTTTTAAATACACTGATTTTATGCAGATTCCAGGTGTGACCTGACTAATTTGCTGCAGTCCACCAGCTATGCGATGTGTCACACTTATTTAAGAATATATTTATAGTTTAACTTTCAAAGATTGAAAAAATGTTTTTCGGGGTGTTTTCTTTTCTTTATTACGTACCATCTAGTTTCATTTGCTCTGGACAATAATAGTGTATCACAGCTAGAAGAGCAGCACCATCACTACCATCCTTCATCAAATCTTCAAGCAAAGGAAAGTAAGGTAGTTGCCTGCTTGAAAGGTGGTCTCTTCTGTAACGCACCTGACAAAGAAAACAAGCATTCGTATGATGCTAACAAGGAGGGGAAAAAGAAAAAGAAGGACTTTTGTTAAGCGCTGAAAACTCTTTACGGTGGATCCTTTACAGCATTCTGCTCCAAGTCAAAAACGATTCACAAGGTCATACTTTTCTCTCAATGGAAGCCAATTTGGAAGAATACGGTGCTTCCTTTTTAATCGTGCTCATATCTGGAAGCAATCCGTGTTGAATTCCTAGCTTCACTCACACATTTTAGCTTATTACAAGCAATTTAAGTCAAAATCCTTCCACACAGATGCATGAATGCAGCAGATCCAAAGAAAGAGAGACATATAACTACATGAAAACACTTAAAGCTTGGGGGGGGAACAAAACCAAACCACACACAGCAAAAAATAATTCGGATGAGCTAGCGATTTCTCATACGTTACCTACATCCACAGGCAGCAAATATCTCTGAGAGATTCAGAGCATCGTTTGTCTGGCAAGCCAGTACACAATACCAACATCATGCAAAAGAAAAAACCATGGCCTTTTCCAAAAAACAGTCAGCAAGAGGAGCAAGGAGGCCTTTTAAATCAGAGGCAAAACTCTCCCTGATTTCACTAGAAATCAGTATCAAACTCTTCTGCAACCCCTCCCTAGCCCTCACCCTGTTTGGAGCATAGCTGAAGAGTAGCTGAAGCCAGTCACCTAAAGAACAAATCTTGGCATTGCTTCTTGCAGTTTCTGCAAGTTTAGCTAGACTGGGAAGCTGCGTTCTAAGCTTGAGCAGCAAAGCAATCAGGCAAGCAAAAGGACAACGCGTTACAGAGCCTAGCAGGAACACCTCTCCGTGTTGGAAAAAGGTTCCTTGTGCACTTCACTGCATTACTATCACTTAGCATTTAACACTGTCTTGACTGATCATGGAATGGTTTGGGTTGGAAGGGACCTTAAAGCCCCCCCAGTCCCACCCCCTGCCATGGGCAGGGACACCTTCCACCAGACCAGGTTGCTCCAAGCCTCATCCAGCCTGGCCTTGGACACTTCCAGGGATGGGGCATCCACAGCTTCTCTGGGCAACCTGTCCCAGTGCTCCCCACCCTCTCTGGGAAAAATTTCTTCCTGATGTCCCATCTCCATCTCCCCCATTTAGTTTAAACCCGTTACCCCTTGTGCTGTCACTCCCTGCCCTTAGAAAAAGTCCCCCCCAGCTTCCTTGTAGCCCCTTCAGGCACTGGAAGGTGCTGTAAGGTCTCCCCAGAGCCTTCTCTCCTCCAGGCTGAACCCCCCAACTCTCCCAGGCTGTCCCCATGGCAGAGGGGATCCCTGAAGTGCTGATGTGCTGGCCTATCATTTCATCATCAGAGGAAAGCTGGATTTTACCAAATCATACTCTTGCCAAGGCACCCTGGAAAGCTCCCTACACACACACACACACACACTCGCAAGTGTCAACTCAGGGTGACACAGGCTGAGAAAAAAAAAATCTGTTCAAAGGAATGAAGATCACTTACAATCAGTGTAACACGAGCCCGTTTCATGTATTTATTTTGCACAAATAAAAGCATGCTATGCTCAGTTTCCCTGGCAAAGGCGAGTAACTCTACAAGCTACATCTACATGCTAATGCTATTCTTCCTGTCCTTACACCAGGTGCAAATTATTTTTTTCCCCAGCCTGGAGCACTCCACAAACATGTAATGGAATGTGAATCATACTGTACCACACGAGCATATTCCACTGGTTCCAGCATGCAGTGCGATATGGCATGCATCAGATCAGGCTTACACAAAAAGAAACGGTGAGATACACGATGGTGATTATTCGAACATGAAAATCAAGTCAAAGGCATTAGCAACACCCCTTATGCACTGGAAGTATGGTCATGAAGTCTGACCAAGTGGGTACACACACTAAGGTGAACTGGTTAGCTTAAAAGGTTCGTCGTTTATCCACTCAGTGGAAGGGAGCAGATTAAAAACAAACTTCAGAAATTCGTTTTTAAACTTCAATACCTCCTGTATGTAAAGTCGACACAAATACCTCCTTTCCAATAGTTTTAAATGGAACTTTATCCAACTACAGTCAATACTGAGAACTAAAATCTATAAGAATTCCTTCTTTATTCGATCTTTGGTGAAAACCCACAAATTTATCAAACAGATTTTTAAGGACTTAATTCTTTTTTTTTTTCTCTCAACTATTGTTCCCTTAACCCTTCAGTCTTTTATACTGAAAAATCTTGAATTCTTTCTTTTATTCTAAGCAGAGTTTTGCGATTTGTTCCCCCTCCATGCATAGAATTAATGGCATTTGTATGCATTAAAGTGCAGAAATGGGTGCTACTGAAATAGAGGTAACACTGTATTTAAAAAAAAAAAACAACACTATGATGAAGACTGCAAAATCTGTCAGTAAACCAGTATAATCTAAGTGGAACTGGGCTAGCAGTGAGACAACCCCTATTTACTCCATTCTTTACCACCAACTTGCTCAAGGATATCCTGCAAGTCAATTCCATTCCTGTGGTTTCTTCTCCTCTCTTTAAACAAAACATAAACCTACTCAACTTCCTCAAAAGACTACGGAGTGTACGCCTCCAACGCAGATGAGATCGGTAAGCACACCAGAGCCTAAGTGACAAGCACTAGGTCAGCACCTGATTATGCATTGTCACAGGTCATTAATGAGGCTGGAAGACAGGGCGCTCTCACAGATGTTATTAACCTGCAGCTCCCCATTCAGATTTCCTTTATTTCAGGTATTTAATGTTTTTACTGTGGTTCACACATGTGGTTCAAACAAATAAGATTATGATGTAGAGGAGCAGGACTGAGGTCTCTGTGGAAAGGCAGGTGACTGCCCGATCATGTGTGCCTTTTCCGAGCTGTTTGGAATTTGCAACTGAGACAACAGTTCTCATCTTCCCAGAGAGAAAACGAAAATCAACAAATCCAAGAAGTGCAGGAGAAAGGGTATCGGGGCTAAGGAAAGCAAAGGAACAAAGAAAAACCTCTGCAAGTAGAAGTAAACGCAGGAAACTGCCAAAAGCAAGCAGGCTTCTGTACTAGAAGTATTATTGCTTTTTCAATATATATATATTTATACATATATATACACTTCACCATAAAAAAAGTATTTTGTTCCAATATGCAAAATGTGAATTCTGTCTCTCCTCCCATTTTGCCATCCTCAGTCTCATCAATTTACCACACGGTTCCAGCAACTGTCCCAACAGGTCCAAACTGGTTTGCCAGACCTTCTAACCCTCTCTCAATGAGTAACGGTGTTCTGGTTCTGACAGATTTACAGACCTGTGCAAGAGCGTTCTTTCATGAACTGCTGCATCTGGGTATCTTAACTAGGGATTCAAAGATTAAGCAATCATTGAAAGTGACCAGCTTTTGTATCACCTTAGTGCTGTGCTCAATCACCGACTTACAACAAAACTACTAAACACAACCATTTAACTGCCGTTCATTTTCTAGCTCTTTGCTGCTATATCCCTCATTCCTGCACTCTGGATACAAATTTGAAATGCTTAAAGTGATTATGCTATATGCTGTACAGTATGCAGAAATCATGACATGAAAACTAAGCCTGATGAACCAAAAGCTTATCCTTTTTTTTTTTTTTTTTCCAAAGACCATCAAAGCAGCACTGCAATGGAAGCAAACACTGAAGAAGTCTAAAAAGCCATGATTTTGCGGATGACAACTGGTGTAAAAGTAGTTCACTTACAGGTACTAATTTCCAATACCATTTGGAAGGAGACTGCTCAGGAAGCAAGGAAAGGAGCGTAGGAATAGGAAAGGAACATCAGCAATGCAAGTTAAAAGCAGTAATACTTAAATGCACTTCAGCAATAAACACTTCCATATTTTCGAGGGGTTGTAGCCTAGAAATTTAGATTTACAAATATCAAAAGGAGACCCAGAATCAATAGAGTCAAATAGTTAAAGGGATCCTTCAGACCACACATCAACTTCTAAATTAAACAGCGATTTAGCCCCTTATCATGGAAGGATATTATTTTCCTTCAAAATCCTTCACCACTAACATTAAACTTAAACACTGCCTTGTTCACATGGCACAATTTTATCCCCTTGGCACAGCAATGACAATTTGAGGAAAGAACACAGCAGTTTTTGTTAAGGCTTCATCAAATCACGAACTGGGAGCGCGGATAGACATTATGTTTGGGAAAGATCCATTTTACATTCTCCAGAAATGAAAGTGTACTGCATTTTGCAATGTTAGTGCATTGTGATATAATTTCAAGGGGAAAAGGTGGAAAAAACTGCAAACACACACATAGAACATCTGAATGCCAAGAGTATGCTTACTAGACAGAATTTGAGTAAGCCTCTGAATATAGACAATTAACCCATGCAAAATGAGTATGCCCCAAGAGCTTTCAAAATATATAATATATATTTTGTGCTGTGAAAGCTGAGTCTTATTTGCCCATGTAAAGTTAATACAAGTTATTTTAGTCTGACTGAAACAAAGAAAAGCCAGTAGATACCAGTGGGCTTGCAAGGTATAAGGAAGGGCACCGATGAGATACAAAGGAAATTGCATGCAGAAAATCCCAGGAGTTTGGAGGACTGGATACCTCACACTGCTCTGACAAAAAAAAACCTCCGAGATGTTTATATTTAAATCCATGAATCAACACACAAAATCACAATTGAAGACAAATGTAGTTTACCTTCTGGTGCCCTGGACTTTCCATTAGTTGCTGTTTTAATTTAATCTCTTTCTCTGTTATCTCCCTCATTTTAAGGTTCACCTAAAAGGCAGTAGCATAGAAAAGATTAAAATACGTCTGAATGTCGGTTTCCACAAGTCAAGTTTTCTTCTTCCTTCCCTCACTTAACGGTCAATCCATTCTACAAACGTATGAAGTCCATAGAACAATGGGTTAAGCGGTTTAAGAGCAACTCTGTTATCAGCAGTGGCTATAATCACAACAAGGGAGTGCTGGGTTTGCAAACCAGACGTACTCTTCAGAACATGACACTGCTGTCGCTCAAAAGGGTTTCAGCAACTTAACCTCGACCCCTTGAACAGTTTCAGTATTTCTGTTAGATATACTCAAGATAGTCAGAATAAGCCCATCCTGTTATTTAACAGGAAACAATACTTCACCTAAAAAAAATCCCACACTTTATAGCAGCTTGTCTGAAAATAAAGAACCCAATTCCTACAGTTTTCCTCCTTTAATTCTTCTCTACTTTAAATCTTCTTTATTTTAAAATTTGCCTTGAAATATTTACCAGCTTTGTTACTGCATCCCTAAGAAACAGAAATTACATTTCCCTGCTAGTCTGATTCTCTTTCCCAATGCACATGGAAACCTTGGGAAGCCAAGGAAGAGGATGAAATTTGAGTATGTTTCAGTAATAACGGAATCAATTACCATTAATAATAACCTGTATTAGGAAGACATTATACCCGACCACCACTGGACTTAAGGTAACAAGTAACACCACAGGACTCAAAGCAGTTCTCCAGCTCAAGTGGAAAAGACGACAGAAATGCACAGGTACGAAGACAGAAGGAAGACACTCATCAGCACCTCGCTAAAAATCTGAAAAGTGACAATAAGAAACAGGCACGCTTTTCTCAAAGTAAATTTTACCTTGTTAATCCAGAAAACCATTGCATCCTCCAAATCATAGGGCAGTTCTTTTGAGGCACTGAATGTAGAGAAACGCTTGACACTAGCAACCACTTTCTCAATGCTGATCATTTCTACAGTATAGGCCATCATAAGAGCATCAATCATTGCCATGTGAGAACTCTAAAAGAAGAAAACAGCGAGTGCTGAAAAATAAAATCCTTTAAGGAAGAAAACTATATATTCTAACTGTATTTAAAATGAAAAATTCCTGAGCTTAGTGACCTAGAAATTAAGAGCTCTTCGTTCTGTTAACTATTTTAAACAGTGTTAAATAAAAGGAAGATGATTAGGTGGATTTAATTAAGCTAACCATTTTGATTGGTGCAGAGCCCAGATCAGAGTCAGACACAGGTGTATCATCACTCTCCATGACGTAAATCCCTTTTCGAGACAGAGCCTGGATGACTGACTGGTGTCCCTGCAGAGCCGCCACCTGATCCCCCTTCAGAATGAGGCTGCAGACACGGCAGTACAGCTCGCTGGAGAGCAGCAGCTTGATGACGGGTGGTTTAATATGTTCTTGCTCATATTGATCGATGTAAAATGGGTCCTTCAGCTCCTCTGGGACATTATCTGGAACAACGAAGAAGAGTTTCAACAGGTGGCATCAGTTATAAACACAACAAACATTTTTACTTGAATTCAAAGATAGTGCATGAAAAAGCAAAGATAAATCAAGGACAAAAACCCACTGAATGTAATTAACTGCAATTTCATACTGCAAATGGTTTTCAATAGGTCTCTATGCTTGTATTTTAATTAAAGCATATATAATTGGCTCCCACCATAGAAAACAACTTATACGTCACCAGTTGGCTTTCTCTAGAGACCCTTGGAAGGAAGCATGTCAACACAGAGAGAAATCCCACAGTCTTCTACACATCTACACATTTCCCTGAATAAGACCCAGCCTAATCAGAACGATCCACTATCACCTCTGCTGATTAGTGCGTATTATTAGTATTTTACCTTATTTTGAATTAAATATCATTTACTTAGATCACAGGCTAAAATGCTCTGTGTATCAGACGAGCAGAGCATATGTATCTTCAAAGCAAAATGTACAGCTGCTTCAAGCAACGTCCCAAAACATCCGTGCAGAGCACCTAAATACCTGCCACGCTCAGTCACTACGAGGGGCCAGCCAAATGTTCTCAGACTGAAAAACTAAATCACCTGTTTCTTGGTTCTAAACTGCCAAAGTGCATAGAAAGACTGAAACATCTGACTAAAACCTTGAGCATTTTACAAAAGGTTTGCAAAACAGCTGAGTCCCCAGTGAGCTGACTGTCTGTTTTTGAAGACAAGAGCACTGAAGCAAACTATCACAGCTTTTCAGCCTTTAGATAAAAACGAAAGCCTCTGCAGCAAAACCATTCCACTTGGATTTGGATCCGACCTGAATTTTAAACCAAGTCTAAAATGAACTCCTTTTGGAATGGCGCAATGTCCAAAAGTTGTCTTATGATTCAATCAAACTGAACGCAGATCCCGAGTGTAGTAAATTAACGACGACCTTATCCTTGCACAGCACTTCCTCCCCGCCAGTTCCCAACCCACAGAGATGTACAAACCAGCACAGCTTCGTAGCTGGCAGGAAAGAAAGGCACTAACAGCTACTAACACCCTGATCCCTCTGAACACGACTAAAACATTTCAAACCTGTACGTTGCTAGCTGAAGTACTGCCATGGTCAAGGTTGTAAGACTACAACACAAGGTAAATGTCAATGGATTACAAGAGTGGAAAGTGGAAGGAAAGGCTGTTTTAAGTAATAGTTTCTTGATATTGTTGAAAAGGCAGAAAACAAATTAAAAATAGATAATATCCCAAAATAAAAACTACTCACATTCAGTAATCAGACTAGAGGCTATTGGTCTTTGTAATAGCCTGGGAGTAACTAGCCTTCAACACCAGGAAAAATCCTTTTTAGCCCCAAACGTGTTGTCTTAACAGAACCCAACGCGTCATCCCTTTCCAACACAAAGTTCTTCCGCTATCCAGTCACTCTGAAGATCCCCGCAGTCACTTCGACGGCTCGTTTTGAGTATGTACATCTACAGTTAAACGGATTATTAATTTGGCAGCATATCCAGAATCCATTCAGCTCATTTCCAAAATAATTAAATGTCCCCATTCAAAGCCACTCCTACCCGCCGCGTACCTTTGAGCCGCAAAACAAGCCGTGCAGTACCTGCCTGCTGCAGAGCACTGAACGTTCATAGAGAGGAGGAACCGAGAGAGAACATTCTCAATCCCATGAGCCAGACACACAGGTCACCACTGAACATGTGTGGTAAGGCAGTGTTGTCGTAACAGCGCTAACAGCTACTCCGACAGCACTGTCCCTGGTTGTCAAAATGGGAAGCTTTCTGATGTTTTTAAAAATTCAGATGACTCTTTTCCCCTTTAAGTGACACTGAATGCTGTGCAGTAGGGACTGTGTACTGGAGATGGTTGAAGAGACACAGTCAAACCCCACGGGCTCTACCCGAGTAGCATTCCTTATCGTGGGTGTCCATTTTTAGTGAAATAGGTAATAAATTCAAGTATTTTTAATCTTCATATTAGTCAACCTGACCTGAAATCAAAGGCTGTTGAAAGCCAATTCCATTTAACGGTCACGGCCATTCCCAGATAGAGAACTGGAGCTTCCATTGCTAAAGACTGGGGAAAGATCCAAAAATGAAAATGTAAAGCGGCTCATATAATTCAACATTTTAGCTTCATTACAAGCAGCTACACCTTTACCAACCAAAGATTGCTTTTCACTACAACGCTTGGTGAAAGGCAATGATTGAGCAGCACCTCACAGAACACCCCTGAAGCCGTACCCTTCTGGCAAGAGCCTTAGCACCACTCCAAGGTTTGAAGGCTTTTTTTAAACAAGAAAAAATGCAGATTCAAAGTGTCTGAAATCTGCAGCACTTAGATGAGGGGTTTAGCGCATCTGCCCTCCACCAGCTCCACAGACCCCGCGTCGCAGGGTAACCGAGGTGACCGTCTGAAACCGTGCTGTGGGTAACGGCTGGACAGAGAGCCCTGAGCCCCCTCCGGCACCTCGGCTGCCCAGCTTTCCAGCAGACCCCTGCATCAGCATGGCCCGCTTCCAACACTCCCCAGGTCCCTTCCAACAAGGTAGGCTGCGAGTTTTTGTAGACTGCAACTACAGAAAGCAAAAAGCATCCTCTTCAACCCCAACCTACCCACAAGAGAGACAACTTATTGCATCGGGGTCTTCACACAAAGACCGACCGCTGGGCCATGATGCTCAGCTTCCTGTGGGCCAGCGGCAGTAAGACGTCCCCTGTTCATTCGCACTTAAACCTGCAACATTTTAATGATTTTTAAAACCCTGTTCTAGCAATAAACCCATCTAGTTCTTAGGGATGAGATTCCATGTCACAAAAACCATTAAAAAAAAATACACCTTGTGTCTCGTCAACTATTGTTTATAGTCTAAATGTCCAGTCCAAAAACCTGGAATCTTGTTCTTCTATAGTAAAGAACCCTCTAACTTCAGGTTTCTGATCTCCATACAAGTGCTTAAGGACTGAATGGATTGGGATTGACCAGGATTAAAGATACAGGGGGCAGGGGGAGAATAACTTCTAATACCAGAATTTATAATTTGAATACCATTATGGGAAGTTTTTCATAAATATTAACCCTCCCACAACTGCAGCTTATTTCACTGTAAACACTTGCCCAGTTTTATTTTCTACCTTAGTGTGCACAACACTCCTGCCAGGTAAATTTGCCTGTCTGTGACAGGAAGGAGCAGTTTTGTAACTAATCTGATGTCCTGACTACAGGCCCACAGAACCTTTAAGATATAAACACACACCTCAAAGCTCAAGAGAGGTAATATTAACTTTACTATTTAATTCAAATTAATTTCACAATGGGCATAACTGTAGTATCCACATGGCAGGAACAAGTAAGCGAGAAATAAATGGCAGGCAAAACTATAATGCCAAAAGGATGCTGTAGAAGTAGGTAACTGAGTTGAGAAACTTCCAAATATCATAGTTGCAGATGTCCTGTACCCAAACAGGGTAACAGACAGCCACAGACAAAAGAAGTGCTCTGATTGGGAGATACTGTCAATATTTGACATCTGCATCTGCAAGCACAACGTAGGAAAAGATAAGTCTCTTATCTGTGGTATAATGCCACATAAACCACTTGCAGCACCCTGGACTGCTCATTCTCCAAAACCCCCTTAAAAAGAAGTCAAAATTGCCAAAAATCTCAGAACAATTACACTGAATTAACCTCACACTGAGTTAAACAACACACCGTGGATGCGCAAGGAGCCACTGGGATTACGGATAGCTTTTCTCCCCAGTTTTTATGGATCAGGCAAACCCCAAACGGGTCATGTGCTTTTTGCTTCCCTCACTGCAGAACATGTTAACACTCCTGGAAAAAAATGTCCCAGTCTTTCCAAGTCCCAGTTTCTATAAGCATCTCTTTCAACACCTTACTTTCGTGACCTATAACCAAACTTAGAAAAATTTGGTTAATTGAAACTTGTAGTTTTTTACATTTACACTTTGGAAATTGGAAAAAAATAGCATGAAAAATCAACTTCTGAGCAATTAACTTCTAAACTATAGCTACAAAAATTTCTGCCCAAGCAGTTTAACAAATCCTACCAAAGCAAACCCAAACCAATTAAGCCATGTCCTTCTTTCTGCTTATAAAAATGCCTCCAATACCATCTCAATTCCAAAAAGTCACCTTTATGTTACGATTGCACGCTACCAAAAAGCTTTCAGGCACCTCCTGTTTTATCTAACATGCTTAATTGTTTTTCCTAATATGCTGATGCGTCAAAAGACACAAAGCTTAAAATTTACCAGTGGTTTTACAGTAACTTGATAACAACGGCACATGAGCTGATAATCAGATCTGTGAGGGCGCCCATCATTTAATCAGTTTGGCCTATGATTTCTGTCAAGAATTGTCCACAAATTTACCCCCCTACACTCAACACCAGAGTTGACCGGATCTCTTTCACGGAGGGATTTTATGGAAATTTTATACCACCTTACTTCAGTTGCACACATCTTATCACAGAGCAAAAATGCTCATTTTTGCCATTTCCCACTCTTACAAGAACAAAGTAATAACCTATTTTTTCCAAGTTTCAGCAGCATAAACTCTCGAGTGTTCTTCCCCACTGAGCCTACTAGAGAGCTACCTCTATGGCTATTTTTAGAAGAGATGAAGGACTCGGAAATAAACCATCCTAATTTCTCGTGAAGCAATTCTTTTGGTCTGTTCCATCATACCAGTGAGCTCCAATCTCTCAAAAACCTGTCAGTTCCAAGTATAAATCATTGTCTACAACACAGTTTACAGGATTACAAAAATAACTTCACTAGTAACAGCCACCAGAGAAACAATTATTGCCAGATTCTCCTCTCCTCGCATTAGGGTAGGGACCATTTCTTTATCATCTCACCTACAAAAACCTGATGATGATTTGATAAAGAAAAACACAGTGAGCTGAACAAATTTGACTTAATCCCTTGAACAGGAGAAGTGGATACACCCCAGATCTT